TGACTCCCAGGATCCATCTTATTCAGAGAGAAGCATCACTTATATTTGGACTAACCATCTTTCTGAGATGATCTACGTGATTCAGAGACTAACTGACTCAGATGACCCACGTGATTCAGAGACCAGCTGACTCAGATGACCCACGTGATTCAGAGACCAGCTGACTCAGATGACCCACTTGCATCAGATGACAGATCTGGCTCAGAAATCCCGCTTGATTCAGAGCACACACCTAACTCAGAAGAATCAAATAACCTACCTCAATCAGGTAAACCAACCACCAATAAAGATGGCGTTCAGATGACCCACCTCAATCAAATGAATCAGCTCACCCAAATGACCCTTGAGATGAAGATAAACTGACTCACATGATCCACTTAACTTAGATGAACAAACTGATTGAGAGGACTCAACTAACTCAGATGACTTGCCGGATGACCCCTCTTGACTTTGCAATTGCATGATCAAAAGTATAGAAAACAGGATTTGATCATTGTCCTTATAATACTCAGTTTCCATGTGGTTTTGTATTCAGACATTGTAGCTTCTATGATGCCAGCTTGCAAATTAGTCCGTCAGTCAGTCAGTCAGTCAGTCCGTTAGTCCGTTAGTCCGCCCGTCAGTCAGTCAGTCAGTCAGTCCGTTAGTCCGTCAGTCAGTCAGCCAGCAAAATAGTCCGCCACTTTTCGAAAGCTTTCGGAAGAATCTCACGAAGCGAGGCCGAAAATAACTCGAGATTTGCTCGGGTTCTTTTGATCGANTCCCGCTTGATTCAGAGCACACACCTAACTCAGAAGAATCAAATAACCTACCTGAATCAGGTAAACCAACCACCAATAAAGATGGCGTTCAGATGACCCACCTCAATCAAATGAATCAGCCCACCCAAATGACCCTTGTGATGAAGATCAACTGACTCACATGATCCACGTAACTTAGATGAACAAACTGATTGAGAGGACCCAACTAACTCAGATGACTTGCCGGATGACCCCCCTTAACTTTGCAATTGCATGATCAAAAGTATAGAAAACAGGATTTGATCATTGTATTTATAATACTCAGTTTCCATGTGGTTTTGTATTCAGACATTGTAGCTTCTATGATGCCAGC